TAATTCATTGGGTGTGATGATGAATTCTGAGTTTGTAGTTCACTAATCTTGTACTATAGTTAAAAATAAAATGAGGAAAGGGATGCCCTATGTCAAATCAAGGACTCCCAAGGACTCCTGCCCACCATATCACCATCCACTGTGTGTCCCTGGCAGGGGATGTAAGGGAATGACTCAAAGTGTAGGGGAAGCCACAGATAACATCATTGGAGAGATTCAAGAGATAACAACACTGAAATGGTAGGATCAGTTAGCATTTCAATAGAAGGATTGCAGTTGCTGACTCCTTGTTCAACCAAAGTGGTATGGATAGCCCAGAGGGAAAAAGGAGAAGAAGGCAAAACATAATTGACTTTGCAAAGAAATTGATATAGCTCAAGTGAATACCACAAAAATTCCCTGGGAGGCAGTGTAGAGTAGTGGAAAACATGTTGGGTTTCTTTATTAAGCACCTACTGTGTACCAGAAGTATGCTAGGTGCAGGGATGCAAATACAAAGACAATCCCTTCTCTCAAGGAGTTTTCACTCTAAATGGATGTACAAAACTACAGTAACCACAAATACAGTAAAAGTCGTCAGATTCTAGGGTATGACCACATACATGAAGGTTGTAGAAAAATTGGGAGATTTGTAAATTCCTCCTACTCCTTGGCAGTCACAAGAGATCTAGACAGAGCATCCAGGCTAGAGCCCAAAAGAACCCCAAGGGAAAATGACTGAAATAAAATGGCCAAGAAATGCCTTGCCATTGCAAGAAATTATGAACATCAAAATTTCAGAGAAACATGGGAAGATTTTTATGCACTGTCATAGCATGAAGTAAACAGAATCAAACAATGATGAGAATGATGTGAATAGAAAGAATAAAAAAGAATTAAACTGGATGCATAATAATAATGACTCCACTTGGCCCCAAAGCAGAAATTTTGGAAATGGATCTTATTCCTTCCTTACAAAGTTGGGAATTAAAGGTGCAGAATATTGCATCTACTATAAGACTAAGTTGATATATTGGTTAGTTCTGCTCAACTGTTTGTTTTCCCCTTTCCTTTTATTCTTTCATATAAAAACGGCTCTTTAGGGGAGGGGATATATTTGATAATGAAGGAGATGGGGAAAAATTTAATGAATGAAAAATATATTAGGCACTGGCACGTGCCAAGTGCTGGAGATACAAACACAAAAGACATCCCCTGGTTTCACGAAGCTCACATTCTATGTAGGGGAGACAACATCTAGAGAAGGATTCTGCAACAGGACTGATGGTAAGGTCTGGTGGTCCTCCATCTCAATGTTCATCCAAAGAGATGTGCACAGCCAAGAGGGAAAAAGGGGAAGAAGGCAAAACATAAATGACTTTGCAAAGAGATTGATATAGCTCAAGGGAAGACCACAAAAATTCCCTGGAAGGCAGTGGAGAGTATTAGAGAACATGTTGGGTTTCTGGAGTCAAAATCCCAGCTCTGCCACTTACCACTTGTGTGGCCTTGGGTGAATCACTTAATCTTTCTAGCAATTAATTTCTAGCAATTAATTTCTCAGAGTTTCAGTTTCTTCATCTGTAAAATGAGGGAGTCAGACTATATGACTTCTAAGGCCCCTTCCAGCTCAAAATCTATAATCCCACGAGTTCTAGGGACCAAGGGAAAATCAGGGATGAACTATGACTATGCCACAATGGGAGGGAGAAGAGGGCAGGTTCTTTTGAATCTTCAAGCACAATAACCACAGAGGAAGCCAGAGTCAGTGGAGCATGGGGGTCTAGCAACTCAAAATCCAAGCAACTCTGTGCAGCTTTCAGGCTGTCAGAGACTTGACTGGTGATGGAATGCAAGCAACTGCTTATATATGAAAGGCACTGGAATTATTTTTAAGGACCTGAAAATGGAAAATGCAGCTGTGCCCCAGATCACTTACTGTATGTAAGGGAAGGGGGAAAGGGGTCATGGACAAGGCAGGACTGGCAAGGGGGGAAGGAAATGCGTATATGCATAAGAACATCCTCACATGTTTGTACACCCTTTTACAGAAATTGTTTCAAAACCAAATGCATTTTATGATTCCAGACATAGCCTCAAAACAATCCTCAAAAACATAACCACGTCGAGCAAGAACAACATGGGTGCCTACCAGTTAGGCGAAGATTGAACAATACGGCATATGAATATAATGGAATAGTATAAGAAAATATAAATGAGAAATTCAGAGACACATGAAAAGACTTATAGAAACTGATTATTAATTAATTAATTTAATTAAGCAGAACCAAGAGGACAATAAACACAATGACAGCAATAATGTCAATGAAACAATATTAAAAGGCAGTTGAATTCTGATTAAAACTTGACCCTGGGAGAACTAATGATGAAATATATCTCCATCCTCTCAGCAACAAGAGGTGGGGAATTATGAATGCAGAACATGGTATACACTAACAACCTCTGTTAGTGATCATTGGTTTTGCTTAACTGTTTTTATTTTTCTTTGTTTCCTCTGTTTAATTTTTTTCCTTTGTTACAATGGAAGGTTCGATAGAGGAAGCTGTTATGGACAAATAACCATGGTGTTAAAAGGCAAAAATAAAAAATTTTAATTACATTTGTTACCTTGGTGGCACGACATTAAATGTTTTCAAAACAAGCATGTTTATTTCTGTCTGCTAAGCCTCAAGGAAGAAGAAATAGTTTGATTTCTGCCTATTTAATTATGCCAGTTTGCATGTGTGCCATAGTAAATGATAATTACCTTTCTACTGAGACAGGACTGATGTTAATAGACCATTCTCATTTGATATATTTTACTTACCTTTGCCATTATAATCCTAATCTTCTTATAATGCCAAGTAGAGAACATACCATTCTTACAGTACAATAAATAATAACAATGATTTAGAGTAGGAGACCAAGTCATTTTTTTTCACATATACCTGAAAAAAATGTGTTTTCTTGAAAATGATTTCTAAAAATACCACGTCCTTCCTCACAATCCTCACTATTTTTTTCTTCCCTGCAGAGCTCCAAAATTCAGGTTTCAAGTTGTAGGAAATTCTCAGCTGAAGCTCACCCCATTTCTAACTCACTCTGATCCCTGTATCCGAGCAACTTTAAGGCATTATCAAAACTTTCCTGTTGCTTAGTGGTATCCAAAACCTGATTTTTTTTTCCCTCAGTACAACAGGGCCAATCTGAAAATTAATCCCCCAGGCCTATCTTATGGAAAAAGTCATCTCACACATTTTCTCAGAAGTCCAGATAAATTAATTACCATTTAAGACCATGACGGCTACTATGGGCACCAATGCCCTGCACTGCCATCTCCTGGCAGTTTCAAGTTAGGAGGGAAAAAAAAGTCTGATCAACAGACAATGACTATCCCTGACTCCAGGCTGATAACCTTGATTAAACATTCCTCACCATCACACAGAATATGGTTAATTTTGTAAAACCTAAGGCAAAAATCACCATAGAGGTAAAGAATAACATGGTATATTAAGTTCATGTCTGGGTAAAATATATTGTTTATTTTATGTTTTCTCTTTTCTATTTTCTCTGTATTGCTGAGGCATATTTTTAAAACCTTCTTTTCAGTTTATCTAGAAATATTAAGAAATGTCATTTCTCCAGACTAAAACCCTTTCCCATTTTTTGGATAGCAGGAAGAACAAAGACTAAGACCTTCCTTTGAAATGGAGTAAAAGTCATAACCACACTTAACTCTTTTCTACTAGGATTATTGCCTCACCATCCACCTGAAAGGGCTGGCACCATGACCCACCTGGGGACAGTGGCTTTTATCTTTTGAAATTCATGGTTAAGATATTAATCACAAGAAGGAACTCTAAAGGGGAAGTGCCCATGTAGGAAATTAGTGATGACTACTTTGGAATGTTAATTCCAAACTGTATTTTAATATATTGTTATCTTTTCCTTGATCAACACTCATATAAATGTTACCTGAAATCTTTGTGTGGTAGAGGTTCATGTTAGAGACATATGGAACTATGCCATTTTGGATATCTTTCTCCAAAGCAGAAATGATTTCACTATGTATTAAATAAAAATTGTTTCTAGTAGATCTCAGCCTAAATCACAGAGGATGTGTATTAATTTTTCTTCAGTAGTATTTTTTTTAAAAGCATGCACCTGCCCCCAAGTGTACCAGGCATGACACAGAGACAGGATCCTTCCCTAAAGGAAGTCACCTTAACAAGCAAAAAGTAAAGTGTAGAAACATGGACACACTTGCTTTTTCTTTTTTTACCAAGCATCTGTTGATTGGGTGGGAGAGAGAAGGATAGTTAGGAATTGGTGGTTGGTTTTGTTCTAATTGAAATTAGTAGAGTTGCAATTGTGAAAAGGGGATAGAAGTTAGGAGTAAAAATTTAGAAAGGATCAACTGAAGAGAATGACTAGAAGAACAAGTAATAGACAGTAGAGAAGCCAGTGTCAATCAGGGTCCATCAAAGGAGCTGGTAAAAGAGTATAATTATTCAAAAAGGTATATAATCAAATAAAACAATTTTAAAATGGCCATTATACTGAAGGATATAATTTGATATCATATAAACTTAGCAACATCAAGATTTAATATTATATAATAAATTTATATTGTGATTTTGTATCACACCAGTAATTTTTATCACACCAGTAATCACCCAATTTTGAAAAATTTACCTTGATAATACTCTTCTCAGGAGCAGGCAGAGGAACTTGAACATTCTCATCTCATTTCAGAAATGTAATGATGATAAATGGATTACTAAAACCACCAAAATTACAGGTCCATTGCAAGCTTGTGATATTGGCATATGGAATGCAAAGGAATAGTTGACTTTTTTTGTTGTTGGTTTATTTGTTCAGATCTATGATTCCTATCTGAAAACCCCCTCTATCAATGAAGATGGGTGCATGTACTGCAACTTATATTCCTAGAGAGCTGCCTAAGTCAAGGGACTTGCCCAGGGTCCCACAACCAGAATGTTATCAGAGATAGGACTTACCACCATCCAAAGAAACCTCCTCTTCCTGTTCACTGGGACAAGGCAAAAGTGGCTGCAGGGGTTCCATGTTGATTATGAGCTGCTTATTCAAGGAGTGGGAACTCTTGCTCTGGGTAATGTTGGCTCTGAAAGCAAGTACAACCCACAAGGGATTGGTTTTCAAGAATCATTTCAAACGTTTATCTGATCTCTTCTATCTGTCTCCCTTCAGAACTGAAATATGCCTCCTTCACAAAATAGATTAAACTAGTAATACTGGATTATTGGTCTAAGGGAGGTCTGACAAAAGTCCATATAATCAAAGCCATGTGAGATTTGGACTATAAGGAAAGATGAGCACTGTAGAATTGACATTTTTTAACTATGGTGCTAGAGAACACTTTTGAGAGTCCCTTGGACAGCAAGGAGATTAAATCAGCCAATATTTAAAGAAATTAATTCAAGCTATTGACTGGAAGGTCAAATACTAAGACCTAAATACTTTGGCTACATAATGAGAAGATGAGACTCATTGGAAAAGACCCTATGTTGGGAAAGACTGAAGGCTAAAGAAAACGGGGATGGCAGAAGACGAGATGGATAGATAGTGTCATGGAAACAGTAAATAAGACTTTGATAGTGGAGGACAGAAGGGTCAGGCATTCAACAGTCCATGGGGTCACAAAGAGTCAGAAACAACTAAACAACTGAACAAAAACTGGATTATTGGCACTCAAATCTCATTTTTCACATTTAGAGTTTTGTTTTGTTTTTTTTAAATTCACTAATTAGCTAGAGTTCATGCAACATAACATAGCAAATTGCATTTCCTAGTCTTTATAGTTAAGTGTAGGCACACAGGCTGCATCAACATGGAGATGAGAAGGAAAACAAAAAAGATCTGATCTATCTAATGGATATTCAGGACATTTGAGGCTGGGCAAGGCCTGGAGTGATTGAGATTCAAAAACAAACTCAGGTGGCCAGATAAACAGGCAACACCCACAATCTGTAGCAGGGATGCTTTCTCTGTATTGGCAGATATCCTCGTTATGCTGAATGTTTCACGTGGCCTACTTCTGATTCATTTCTTCAACTGGCCAGTCTACTTACCCAAACTATGTATTCTATTCTTGAAGGGAATACCCATTAATTAGTGAGCATGATGACAGTCAGCTGGCTGGAAAACTAAGCAGATGCCTTCGCTAGAACATCTGCTTGCAGCTGTAATGAACGCTTACCCACTCGGCCACAGGTTGGCCAGCCAGCTGCCCTGTGAGTGACAGCAATCTTCTCCAAGGGAAACTCCTCCATGCAGATGCCTGCTTTTCCTGTTTTGTGTCAAAATCATGGGAGACAACCACAGGCTGCCATACTTGAGATGAAGAAGTGTGCTGATCGAGCCAGTTGAAAAGACTTACATTTCAGGACAGGAATTTCCATTAGCAAAGGAGAAAGGCAGGGAAGGAGTGTCAAGTCACCAGCTTCAGATGACATGTTTTTCCTCCCTGGCACCAATTCAACAGAGAAATTCCTAAGTACTGGGAAATGAGGACTATAATATTTAGGTTGGGTTCCCTTTTCAATTTCTTGTGTGTGTTTTCTCTGTAGCACCTATCTCTAGTTCCCTACCATTTCCACCGTCTTTAGTATTCAATGATACTAGTACTCACCTTATTACAATTTACCTATCTTTCAATGTGATGAGGGTCAAATAAGATCCTCATTTTGCCCTAAGAATCTCTAGAGATTGATCTGAAGAAGAGCCCTGCTGTTTAGACCTACTTTGGTGTACAGCAGGCCTGCAAAACCTGCAACCAAGTAAGCCACTTGCAGCATGCCAAAGGATTTCCAGCAGCCTGTGAAAAATGCAGAGGTTTGCTCTGCAGACTGTAGCTTGTGCAAGCCTGGTTTAGAGCAGCTCATTGCCTTCTTCTACTTTACCTGTCTTTATCCATATAACTAATGAAATACCAAGTTTTTATACAAGTTTTCCTAGAGCAGGCTAATGTATGAATTGATTATTATTCATTCTCATAGTCAATCTAGGAAAAAAAAAGAATCACGGCTGCTTTGTAATCTATATATTTCTGGGGCATAATCATCAGTACTGTGACAACTCCTGAATTAAAATGATTTAAGAAGCTTATGAAACAGCAAGGGTATTCAGAGAAATTATAACTATATTCCAATAATGACTTCTAGATTTCTTCTTATATCCCAAGAAATGGTTACATCAAACAGATTAAATGAGATAATATCAATCAATCACCAAGTAATTATTAAGCCCCCTACTATGTGCCAAACACAATGCTAGGGACTGCTGACAAAAAGGTAAAATAAAAGTCCCTACCCGCAAGGAAAGCACTTGCAGACCCATGTCTCTTCTTGAGGTGGCACAAAATGGTATCATAATTTCTGGTTCCTTACACTGAGATTACATTAACACTTGTCTACACCCCCTCCCCCAAAATCTTCTAATCCAAGTTACCACTGCATCTTCTAATCAAGTTTTGGAAGCCCCCCCAAACTTATAATTGCCAGATTCCTAGAGTGTCACCTAAAGAAGGGGTATCAAACATGATCCCCTCCTCCCACTAGATTAAAATGTAATTGGTAAATATTTAACAAAATAAAGAAAATACAATAAAAACATAGATAATGTTAATTTGTGGTTTTCACAAAGTCAAGATATGGCCGGCAGAGTTCCTTATGTATGGTTGTTGTTCAGTCATTTGAGTCTTCTTAGACTCTTCTGTGACCCCATTTGGGGTTTTCTTGGCAAAGATACCAGAGTGGTTTGCCATTTCCTTCTCCAGCTCATTTTACAGATGAGGAAACTGAGGTAAACAAAGTTATGTGTTTTGCCCAGAGTCACAGAGGTAGTAAGTGTCTGAGGCTGGATTTGAACTTGGAAAGATGAGTCTTCCTGACTCCAAACCCAGCACTCTATCCACTGCGCCACTAAGCTGCTGTTATGTATAGTTTATTGGCCTCCATTTCTATTTGAGTTTGATTCCATTGGCCCAGTAAGGGCTTCTTAAGCTTCTTCCACTCTGACCCCTTCAGCACTTCTTAAACTGGGGGTCACGATTCCCATTTTAAGAAGTGCTGGGCCCTGGAGTACTAAGAGATGAGGCTATCCAGGGCCCCACAGTCAGGAAGTCACCGGTATACATGAACCTAGGTCTTCCTGGCTTTCTATTCACTTTGTCACTCTGCCTCTCCCTGCCTTAACATGGTCAATCTGTCTACAGAAGCAAAATAGAAATAATATCTGTCTTCAAGGAGCTTATTTCTGGGGCTGGGGGAGGAATATGCAGAATGAAACACCTACACTAAGATCACTAAGAAAAGAGAAAGAATATTCTCGTTTGGGGGTATCAGAGAGAGCTTCCCACAGGAGATGACTCCGGATTACTAGTGTCCAGGGTGAACAATCAAGGCAGCTTTCCTTGATAAGGAGCCATATGGGACGCCTAGGATAAGGGCCCTACTTACCTGTGCACCTCAGGAGGGTTTCTCTGGATTTTGGAACTCGCTTCCACTACCTCTTTGGCAACTCTGCCACTATAAGAAAAAAAATGAAAGAAACTAAATACGAGAGGGAAGGGGGAGAATACCTTTCCTGAGGACAGGGGAAAACACAGGGACATAGTTTAAGGAAAAAAATGTGGTTTGAGGGATTAGCCTTTCTGGCAGTATGCTTGCCTCTGTTTAGGACTCCTCCTCCTGCCTAGTAATCTCCCTCCCTCTTGCCCTGCCCCCTTTTACAGAACCTTCCATAGTCAGAATCTTCCTTGTAGTAAGCTTGCAGCTTCCCTACATCCTTTCTAGGTGCCCACCTGCCTGTGACATCACAGATGGGAAAACAATCAGCTGTACCTGAGCCACTGAGGTTCCCTGTAGAACTCACTCTCCATGCTTTGGAACCTTTAAGCAGACCCATTGTGTGGGACAGTTCAGTGCAGAGCTGGAGGAGTCATTGAGAATCTCACATGACCAGGGTGGCAAGGTGCCTCTTGCCTGAATCTTTAATCACTTTCTTCCTCCTCCTCCTCCCGATAGGCCTGAAGGTCACCCCACTCTACCCTAGATATCTGGTCCCTTCTAAAGATCTAGCTATATCCTTACAGTCACCATAACCTTATATATCCTCCTGCCTTCTTCCCTCACCACCTCCCATCACGTCCCTATGGGTATCTAAAGTTAAGGGATTCCCTTTGTGAGAGTAAAATACATCTGAAATTTTAAAAGGCCTATTGCTTTTACCATCATTGGCTCATTCACTTGTGTGGAAATTCTTTAGAGGCAACTCCTCACCACCACCACCTCCCCCCCCAAAAAAACTACTATGGACTGGAACAGGAAGCAATTTTCTTCTGTTTCTACTTCTTCCCTATGACTTTGTGGTTTAAGCTTTTCAAACCATTTGTGTCCCCAAGAGAGTAACTTACTGTGAAGTTCAAATAAAGACATTGAAATGGAAGGAAACCAACTCTCAAAAAAGTTAAGTCACTTGTCTAGGGTCACACAGCTAGTAACTGAAATTGAAATAGGGGGTGTGGGCGTTTGAGAGTAAAAAGCACTACTAACCCCCAGATACTAAAAATAGAAACAGGCCACAATACACTCACTTTCACAAAATATTAAAATGGCTAACATCTCTTTTGTCCCACTTCTCCCAAAATGGGGGGGGGGGGGGGGGGGGGAAAGTCCAAGCCTCTTCAAGTACCTACCTATATCGAAATCTACTGCCTTTAAAAAATATTTTGCTGCTTGACACCGTCTTGATCTGACTGGATTTTGCATACCTTTAAGAAAAGAGCAGAACAGCACTCCATTAGAAAGCCAACATCCCACATGAGATGAAGATTGGGCAGTGCCATTGGTAAAGAGAGGCTTTTCCATTCCATATCACAAATCAATGGAGAGAGTGGCCCATAGCACTAATCAGTTCTGAAGGGGCACTTTATTCCTTGAAATCAAATATGTCAGCAGTGCACCAGGGCACAATCTACAGTCATTTTTTTTTTAAATATTGTCTTAATATTGTCCTAATGGGAAAGTTAGGAAATCCCTCTCACCACAATCCCAAGGGATGACAGCTCCTGTTTTAACCACAGCTAAATCACCATGACCCAGTATCCTTCTCCACAGTTCTCCCTGGGAAATGACTAGGATATGTGGAGAGATGGAGACCTAGTCAACTGCTGACTTAGCAGGGATAAAACTGAAATGTAAACAAGAGGCAAATAGCAACCCCACACACACACATACCCAAAATATAGACTGGTTTGACACCTCCCATTTTTTGTTGTTCAGTTGTTTTAAGTGTATCCAACTTTTAATGAACCCATTTGGGGTTTTCTTGGCAAAGATACTGGAGTCATTTGCCATTTCCTTTTCCAGCTTATTTTACAGATGAGGAAACCAAGGGAAACAGGGTTAAGTAACTTGCCCAGGATCACACAGCTAGTAAGTGTCTGAGGCCAGATTTGAACTCAGGAAGATGAGTCTTTCTGACTCCAGGGCTGGCACTCTATCTACTGTTCCAACATTTCACATGGGGAACTCAATCATAGAGGGTAGTTCAGCATCCCTCTTTACCACTCACTTCAATGCTTGTGTAGCCCAATCCAAATTAGAAATAACAGGTCTTTAGGCAGAATGCCTTGAGTGGGATCACTTAAAAGTATCTTGTGTCACTAATAAAAACACAACCTGCTATTTGTTGTTAAGTGCAAAAGTGAACATAAAATACCCATAGGTAGCCAGGGACAAGTCTAGCTATTACAGTCATAGAATCATAGATTCAGAGCTGGAAGTGACTCAAATCCAACCCGATCCTTTTTACATATGAAGAAATATATCCTCAAATATCAGTGACTTGCCCATGGTCACACAGCTAGTAAGAGTCTGAGGCAGGATTCTAACTCAGGTCTACCTGATTTCATGTCCATAGTACTATCTACTATGCCACCTAGTACCTGTAATAATAAGATAGAAGTCTCAATCCTCAACCTACGTTCTTCCCACTGCTGTTATATCTGCTTTCTATTCCAGCACAATTGGAGATAATTATCACAGAAATGAAAACTGATATTTATAGAGCACTGAAAAGTTTACAATTTACAAAATGCTTTGCATACATTACCTTATTGGGTCCTAACAACTCTATGAGTTAGGTAGTACCAATGTTATTATCCCAATTTAAAGACGAGAAAACTGAGGCTTCAGAAGGTCACAGTCACCGAGCTAATAAGTGATAAGCAGAATTTGCACCTATAACTTAACAGCATCTAGTACTGTACTACATCACATAGGATAACCATATCAAATTAAATTTCAGAGTCCCAGGCAAAATTTTATAAAGAGATTGCTCCTCCAGTTTACTAACCAAAGAGGGTCCCTTGCTGCCCTCTCTGTGTTCTGGCCCCTAGCTCCACGGGCTCCTGAGAAAGTCCGTGATTGCTGAGAAAGCCATGCTTCTGAATTTCTACAGGTTAACTTCCTGAAAATCTTCTCTCTGCTAATTTGCTCATTCTTCCTCCTGTTGTTGTTATGCAGTCATTTCAGACACGTCCAACTCTCCATCACTCCGTTTGGGGTTTTCTTGACAAAGATACTGGAGTGGTTTGCCATTTCTTTCTCCAGTTCATTTTATAGATAAGGAAACTGAAGCAAACAGGGTTAAGTGACTGGCCCAGGGTCACACAGCTAGTAACTGTCTGATGCCAGATCTGAATTCAGGAAGATGAGTCTTCCTGACTCCAGACCTGAGCTCTATCCACTGTGCCAGCTAGCTGCCTTTACATTATTCCTTTACTGAGCATCTACCTCTTCCCTCCGCTATGACATCCACAGAAAACACAATGAAGACACAGAAACCCCAACTTTCCAGGAAGCAATCACTTTTTCAGTTGTACCATAGGACTGCTAAACACTTAGAAGGATTTTTTTTTTATTAAAAGTTGGAAGGATACTTGAATTTTGATGGTGGAGTTTAAGATGCCCTTGCTGTTCAGAACTCTAAAGGCTTTGTCTACATGGATGGAGCGTAGTACAGTAGTAAAGAGTGCTAGATTTGTAGTCAGAGGGCCCAGGTTCAAATCCCAGCTCTGTTATTTATTATCTGGTAAAGTCACGTAATCCTTCTATGCCTCAATGTAAAATGAAGGACTTGGATTAAGCTCTAAATCTTTTTTTTTTTTTGGCTAGGCAATGGGGTTAAGTGACTTGCCCAGGGTCACACAGCTAGTAAGTATTATGTGCCTAAGACCGGATTTGAACTCAGGTCCTCCTGAATCCAGGGCCAGTGCTCTATCAACTGTGACACCGAGCTGCCCCCAAACTCCAAATCTTGGATGCTACAATCCTACATAGAGATTTGAAATGAATGAATACATAACATACATAGGCAGCTGTTACGTTATGTATATAACAGGGCAGCTAGGTGGCGCTATAGTGCACAGAGTGCTGGGCCTACAGTCAGGAAGACTCATCTTCCTGAGTTCAAAGTCAGCCTCAGACACTTACCACCTGGGCAAGTCCTTTAACATGTTAGCCTCAGTTTCCTCACCTACAAAATTAGCTGGAGAAGGAAATAACAAACTACTCCAATATCTTTGCCAAGAAAACCCCAAATGGTATCATGAAGAGTTGAACTTGAAACAACTGAACAACATAAACTGGTGCTGATCTTTGACACCTTATTTCTCCTTTCTTATCTCTATGTAGGATATCACCCTCTCTAAATTCTTTTTTAATTAGTTCTCTGACTGCTCTATTGATCCCATTAGAGCTGTCAGAGATGCTTCTGGTCCAACCACGCCCAAGAGTTCACTGTATTGATGTTGGACTTAGTGCAGACAGCCAATCATTTAGCCCAAATCAGGTCAGAAATTCCAGGCCCAGGCAATCCAGCAGCCTTAGCCTCCCGGGTATAAGTGGGGGCCACCATGCCCACTACCCTAATCTCCTTAAAGATACTATTTTAGACACATTTTCTAAGTCTTAGAGATAAATAAATAAAAATATACACACATACGTGTATATATTGTACATATATACATATGTATAAATATGTAACCTATGAATAACCCATATAAGGACATTGCACACTAAATGTTAACTCTGGAATGGCCCTTAGAGATCTTCTGGTCTCATCTCCTCCTTTACAGATGAGAACACCAAGACTCAAAAGGGGGAAGTGACTTAAGAAAGGCCACACAACTTAGGACAAGAACCCAGGTCTCCTGACTCTCAGGCCAGTGCTCCATCTTTTTCTCCCTCACAGCCTTCAATCAAAAACATTCTGCTCTTTGGCTCTAAAAGGAGGAGAAGTATAAACAGAAATTTTCTTTTTAAAAAATTATCCACATTTTAAAAAATGTTGTATTGACATCTTTTGTTTTTAATTTACCTTCGGTTTCTAAGACACCCCTCCCCACCCAGCCAAATAGCCATCCCAACCCTGATAACAAAGGAAAAAAAGGTTAACTGAGTCCAACCCAACATGCTATGCTCCACACCCATAGCACACCCAACCCTACAGAGAAGGGAGATATATTCTCCTATCTCTTAGGCTGTAATGGGTTTTGCTTTTGTTGTGGAGGTTAAAATGAAAACTTTCTCATGATAATGATCCACCTAGCTTGTCTCTTGGGATGCCGAAGGGCTGCGGTTAAGAGACATAAGCCAGCTTACTGCCCCTACACTCCTTTGCTTTGCGGCAAACTCTGGTGCCAGGGTTTTCTAGCTAATCAGTGGCCCCTTTCCAAGAGTCATTCCAAAGTACATTCATTTCTCAAAAGCACATCGGGGAATTCTTAGTCACCGAATGCTGGTCTGTAAGGTTTCCATGCCAAGTAATGTCAGCTGAAATGGGTAAACAACCTATACTTGTGATGATAGGACCCAGGACCATGCTTTCTCATTCTTTAATAAACAAAAATAATAATTGTAATAATATCTGAAGAAGCAAAATATCCTCTCTATCTATGAGCCAGCTGGGTGTGGCAGAGGATAGAGCACTGGACTTGGAGTCAGGAAAACCTGAGTTCAAATCTCACCTCAGACACACTGATAGCCGTAGGCCCCTGGGCAAGTTGTTCAACCTATTTCAGACTCAGTTGCCTCCTCTGTAAAACAGGGAAGGGAGTACCTACCTGACAGGGTTGGTATGATGATTACATGAGATAACATACACATGTATATATGTATGTTTGTAATGTATGTATGTATATAATGTCTTGGGAATTTTAAGTGTTACTTAGTAGAGTTATTTATCCACACTGAGACTAAGGATGTAACAGAGATCAGCGATTCTAGAGGCCAAGTACAGTTACAGTAGTGGCATAAAGGTCTCTAGTTCCCCATTTTGCCACTAACTGTGTGACCCTGGACAAGTCACATACTCCATATGGCCTTGCCCCTAAGCATACTTGACCATTTACCCTGTACATATATTGTCTCCCTCATTAGAACATAAATTTTTTGAAGACAGGGGCGATTTTTGCCTCTTGTAGGATCCTACACTCCTCTAAATACATTGCCTGGCACATAGTCAATGCTTAATAAACACTTGTTTATTGAGTGATTGGGCATCAGTTTTGTCCACTACAAAATTAGCGGGTAAGATTAGGAGACCTCTGAGGTCATTTCCAGTTTTGATATTCTGTGGTAAATTCTATGCTGCTCAATGTGGATAGCAATGCAAATGGAACCCCACAGAAACAACAAAAAAAAATTCAGAAAAAAAATTTTTATTACCTGTGATAAAAGTGGAGGAGAAAATGTGTGAATAAAACAAAAAGATGGATAATCCCCCTGAATAATTTTTTCTGAGGTTCTGTTACATTCACACATACACACACACACACACACACACACACACACACACACACACACCAGTACTCTCCTTACTTGGCCCCCAAGACTTCTTAACTCAGTTCTAAGGTCTTAGCCCAAGGACAGCTGTCTGAGTTATACCAGGAAGGAAGCCCCATAAAACCCCTGGAGAACTTTCAACTCACTTGCAGATGATCTCGAGTTGACTATGACAAAAGAAATAGCTACTGCAGACAACATAAAGGCTTTGCAGATGCTTTTTTAACCACTGGCATCAAATGAACAAAAACTGCTTACTTGTAGAAGGCCTGATTCTCCACCCCACACTTCCAGAGGTGTTTGCAAGCAGCCGGTGTTGAGGTGTGAAATGCCAACATGGCTTTTTTCTAATGAAAGGGAAAAGAGCAAGAAAGAGCATAAGAAGAGGATTTCTGAACACTCTAGAAACACAAATTAGGAGTCTGAAGCTCTCTCAACACTGAGTCCAGTTGCTCTTTTTTTTTTTTTTTAGAGAGCTCTTGAAAAAAAATTGTCATCTTTTCAAAGCTATGCTGAAGTCCCATCACCAATACTAGGCCTTTCCTCATCTTCCCATTTATATTCCGCCCCCTCCCCATAACTATGTGTTTATCTACATATACACGCTGTATCCCTTGCCAGTAGAATGAGAGTTCCTTGAGGGCAGGGATTATTTTGTTTAGGTTTTGGTACCCCCAGTGACTAGAACATGCTTTGCACATACTAGGCACTTAAGAATTCCTTACTGAACTGAATTGAATTTGATATTCCAAGTTCTGCCTTTGACTCAAACTTGGCTGTGTGACCCTGGGCAAGTCACGTAACCTCTAAGTATTCCAGGAACTCTCTTAGACAATAAATTACCTAGAAGGTGCCAAAATACACAGGTGGAAGGAATTTCCTTATCCTGGGAGCTCCCCATACCAATGAAATCCTAAATCCAGGCCCTGTCCCCACCATTGTGTCTAGGTTAGTACCCCATGTATAACAGGCAAGTGATTAAAAAGTTGCTGCCTGTTTCCACAGAAGTACAAAGTCAACGTCTAGCCTTTTCCTTCCTGATTGTTTTTAGCCTATCACCCTCGCAGCAGTCACCAACTCCAAAATCATGGACTCCACTGCACTGCAATGCTGTAGTTACATTTTAGGTTCTGCTGTGAATCACAGATAAAGGGGGAAAAAAACAGATGGTAAGAAAAATAATATCTGACCTCCTTCTGAGAGCCAATCACATAGAATGTCTTCCCTTCATACTTCAATTTGCAGACATCCGGCCTAGGGAAAGAAAATCTCTTTGGGTAAGGAGGAAAAAAAAATGGCCATTAACAAGGGTAAGTGGCTTTCCTGTAGGAATCTGGCTGCCTCACAAATGCCAAACAGGCCACTCTGAAACAAGATATCAGCTTATTATCAGTGAAGACCTGATGAGTGGTGAAAAACGGGAAAGGGAATTATACAGCAATTTTCTTTCTGAGAGACAATTCCAAAGGCAGCTCAAAATTACTTAGTTGTTCAATTTTTCATTATATGTGAGCCACCATCCTTCAAAGGGTTTTGAGGGACATTATGTACATTGCCCAAAAATAAAAGACTATTTTGGTCCAGACCTGTTATTTCATCAGTGTGGGGAACCCCTCCATTGATGCAAATCAGCAACTCTTCTATAACTTAGAGTCTTAGAGATGCCTAGGGCACTGAGAGGTTAAGTGCCCAGGGTCACGCAGCCATGTGTCAGAGGCAGGATATGATCCCAGGTCTTCCTGGCTCTGAGGCCAGCCCTCTATTCACTATGCCTCTATTAGCAATCATATCAAAATTTATTTGTGGCTTTATTTGGTGAAGTGGAAAAAAAATAGTCATTTCAAGTTGGAGTAGATGAAATAATAGGGTATCCAGTTTCTCTCTCTCTTTCACACACACACACACACACACACACACACACACACACACATACACACACACACTTGAAAGGCCAACCATTCATTCCTGCCCTCCATCTGTATGGAGAAATTGTTTACATTTTCACCAAATTGGAAGAACAATAATGAATGGCAAAATAAGATCATAACAATGATTTCCACATTGTTTTGAATGGTTATTCCAATCAAACTTTCCTGAAAAGCTAGCTTTGGTTTAACCTGATGTGGGAGAGTGGTTATGAAGAAATGAGCAATTTCCAGTGTTTCCACGTTTGAAATCAAATATTGCCTACTCCAGACTGAGCCATGGATTTGTGAGTAGATAGAAGATTGCAAGAATTAACAAAGGTAGAGTTAGTTTGGATTTGTGAGATAAACTTGTAAAGGCTGTGGAGCCACATAGTTGATCATTTTGAAACAAAGCAAGAGGAAGAACAGAGTCCTTCAGTTATGGAACTCAGGTAATATGGGAATTGTGGGAATTGAGTGAACCACCCTGATGCCATCTTGTGACTCAGATCTGGATCTAGCTCAGTTCCCTTTCTATTCAATTATGGGTCTAATCCAATTTCTGTCTTGTTAGAAAACTATTAAATTATGAGAACTGTGAGAGAAAACCTTATTGTATTGTTTGAACCTAGCCCTTCATGGCTGTTACTTAGAGACCCTTAACTAAGGATCTAGGTTATGCTGACCAGAAACCCAGTCAGATCTGAAGATGGATGCAAGGAGTTTTCTCACAATTATATATCTCAAGCAACCTATATGTCTTATCTGAAAACTGGTCTAATACTGGTCAATCAGTTATTGTTTCCATGTTCCTTCGACTGAATACAAACACTTGGGGGAAGTAGGACACCTCTTTTTCTTATTTCATGGAATTGCCTGTTTGCAACCCTCCCAACTAGAAAGCTCCTAATTTTTCCTCCAATTAGAAATCAGATTACCTAATTTTGTATCCTGGTTTACGTCTCACTAATTGTTTGGTTTTTTTTTTAATTAACTGGTCTTATTTGATTTATTGTTTTTAATGCATAAACATTTGTCTCCCCCTGTATTCAGGATCCAATGCCAAGCTGAGGAGGCCTGGCCCCGATTTGCTATGCAATTGACATGCAATGCTTAATAAACCTTCCTGTAGAAGACCAAGTAGGGTCAATCCAACTCTTTTTCCCTGAAGTTCTTTGGTAAACAGGAAAAGATCACTCCCCACCCAGGCAAGCTCATCCTTCATTGAGGATGAGAGGAGTTCTAACCAGTCACCAAAAATCTGATTAACTCATCATACTTGGCAACTTGTTTAGCAAAGAAGGGGGGGAGGCTTTGATTATATGTTTATATATGTCAAAATTGGTTAAGAATGAGATAGATTTCACTAAGGGGAAAAATACAAGAAGATCAAGCAGTTCAAAAAGGAAATCCTGTGTCCTTCATGTAGTAAATAAAGCCTGCTGCAAAAGATCAACAAGGAGCTAGCTAAAACAGATGGCATCTAAGTGCAAATGAGGGATTTGAGCAAAGGTAAAATTAAGGGGATACAAGATGGGCAACTGCCCAGGATGCAACATGCAAGAAGATACAAGAGACACTTTTTAGTATCATTTTTATAAATGTGTGTATTCAAAATGGTAAAAAAAAAATTTTTAAATTCTGAGATGTTTCATTCATTGTATTTGTATCCCCAGCACCTATAACACAGTGTCTGATGCAGAAATGGTTAATAAATACTTATTTATTGATTGATCAATCAAGTCCCACATGTCACAATGAAGGCTCAATTCTGATGAACTGTAAATCATAGGGAGCTCAATTTTCATATCTTGCCTCTTCCCAGTTCTGGTCTTAAGAACATTAATTTTAGAAATAGAAAACAATTCTGGGACACAATTTCTTATGCCCAGCTGCAGTGGGAGAAGTGGGGAAAGGGAAGGGTGAGAATAAGGCTATGATTTTGAACTGAGTGGGTACCAGGGAAGAAAATGATTGGAATTTTTTTTTTTTTTAGTGAAATCAGGTATGACAGAAAGATGTGAACGGAATAAGCCGCCACATGGACAGTGAGTGAAGAGCACATTGACTGGTCAGAGGTAAATCAGCTAGAAAAGTGAGGAACAAACACAGAGAGGAATTCAGGCAGAAAGAAGGGACCTGGAAAAGATAGATTTTATAAAAGAGCAGAGGGAGAAATCCAGAAGAGAACATAAACCCTAAGGCAGAGGCTGTGCTGTGTGCAGAAACAACACTTGCAGGTTAGAACTGAATCCAGTTTAGAACAGGAACCCAGCTAGCATGAAAGGACTGATTCTCAGGGGATTATAAGATTAGAGCTGAAAGGCACTTACAGGTCACCTAATCCAACATTCTCACTTCACAAAAGAGGAAACTGAGGTCCAGAGAAGCAAAATGACTTGACAAGGCTACCAAGTGACACGGCTTGGGTTTAAACCCAAGTCTAGTGCTCTTTCGGACACATCACTAGTTTGGGCAGAGCCAAATGAGTTTAATCCAGCATACACAGGACAGCCCTGGAAGACAGCTCTCATGTGCTCCTCATGGAGCGTAACATGATTTTAACATTTTCTGCTGGTTAAGTATCCTCAGTTTTCCTTCCATCTGTTCTTTTCTTTTTTTTAGGCAACTGGGGTTAAGTGACTTGCCCAGGGTCACACAGCTAGTAAGTATCTGAGGCCACAGTTGAACTCAGGTCCTCCTAATCCAGGGCCAGTGCTCTATTCATTGTGCCACCTAGCTGCACCTCCATCTGGTCTTCTATGGCCCAGGCTCCAATGTTTCACCATCCTTCTCACTCTCCACTGGAATGCTTCAACTTGTTAACATCCTTCCTAAATGTGGCAACCAGAAGTGAACACAATAGTACAGACAGTCTGATCAATACAGAACAAAAGGGACTGTCACCTCCTTCACTCAATCCAATATACCTCTCTCAATGCAGCCTAAGATAGCAATAACCCTTTTGGCTGCCATGTTTATGTAAAGATATTAGATTGACTGCAGGAAATCATACGATAGGGACGGAAGAGCTGACTCCTCCTTCAGCCTCCTCCAAAAAGAGCAAAGGTCCCCAAAGTGGGCAATACCGCCCCCTGGGGGTGCTGGAACAATCCAGGGGAGTGGTAGTAGCCTTGGATGTAATGGGCAGGGGGAGAGGCATTGAATAAAAATAAGGGAGCAGTGGAAGCATATGGAAAGAAGAGAAGAGAAGAACATTTTGAAAAACTGTTCATACATGTTTCATCTGTTGTGTAACTGAGGTAAATTCATAGTAATGACATTATTTTCCAAATAAACATACAAAATGCAAGTTATAACCAATCAGTAGTCAAGTCCACTGACAGGTCTTAATAAGCAAGTATTGGCAGGTGAGCATGTAGTACATTGTTGAGAAGTCTAGCATGCATCAGCAGGAATATGTGCGTGTAATGACTTGTTTACAATACAATACTATACGGTTACATGATGAAATATTCCACCATCAAAATTTCAATGTAGGAAAACACCCACAAATTTACAATAAATTATGAAATTTAAGATGCATAATTTCTTTGAAAAATTATATTTCTGGAGTGATGAAAATTTCAAAAAAAAAAACTGTTAAAGGGTTAAAGAAAGTAGATTTCCACGGGGGTACTGAGGAATTGTTTTAATGAAAAGGGAGTGGTGGGCCACATAAGTTTGGGAACCTCTGATGAAGAGGAACCTACATATTTCCCAACGCTCAAAGCAATATCAGGAAGAAACTGGATTGGGAATAAATACAGAATGGAAGCCTATGAGAGTATGGGCAATGCATTAACCTAAGCCAAGCTGCTCATATGAATGAGACTATGTAACTACAACTTAACTACCTATATGTGGTATCCCAAAAGTCTTAGGGAAGTTGTAAGTTATTAAAGCTTTAAAGCTACTATTTAGGCTATTAAAGTATAAAACTGCACTATGACTTTTTGGGATACCCTATATATAATTGGAATGCTGAAACGGACTTATATTCTAGCAGAATGAGATTTACAGTCAAACTAGTGTGGAAGGAGATGAACTCCACCCCTTTTTGGAAATGTTAAGAAAACATTATTAAATGATACCAGTCTGAAACCTTTGGACCAATCTTAAAGGGAGATTTTGTTAGTCTTAATTATCAATTCTGAAGCAATATCCTAGAACGAAATTTTTCTATCCTATCTCTTCTGATCAGCTGAGGAAGGACTCCTCAATGAAGCGGTCAAGGTAATGACCAGAATGAGAAAAGAAACAGGTCACTTTTATGTCAGTTAATGGAAGTATCTCTTGGGTTCCCCTTTGACCCACTGGAAAGGAGAATACTTAATGGGAGTAGTCCAAGAAGGATTGAATGGTTATGAGAAAATGATTCTTCAAACATGTGCCAAAAGTTAAGTGACTTCGGTTCTGACTAAATTTCACCCAAGTTCTATTACCACATTGTGAAATTTCCTTTGTTCAGGAATAATATAAATTATAATTTGAAACTGGCTTGTTAGAGATTTTCAAAGTCATGGAATAATTCTGTCCACCTTTATTCCTCTCTCTAAGCAGAAATGCTTAGATTACAATAATCTAAGTTAATAAAATCTGTTTCTGGAAAGTTTGTGACTAAGACACAGAGTAGAGAATGCCATGCCAGTTAACTAGGTCTAAGGACCCAACAGAGAAAGTATGCTGAAGAGAAGTAAAGAGGGAAAACTGTGGTCCCAAATTTCACTGAAAGAGGTCCTTTTCATTTGAAAAGTAGAAAAAAATTATTACAGGCAAAATTTTTGATGACATGTTTTCAAAGTAGGCTCTCGGTTTCTTTCATTCAATCTAAAATCTGGATATTTAGCAGACTTGAATGTAAAATCAGTGGGAAAAGGAAGAGAATTTGGGTGTAGACAGGGAAAAGTTCATGTAGTGCTTTCATACCAACTGCTTTCATCAGTTATTGGGTTGACACAGCCCTACAGATTGTGGAAAAGTATGAGGTGATAGCACCAATATTTCTACCTGGGGTTACCAAAACTGCCTCTAAGGAAAGGGAACAAAACCAATAGGGTTGGTGTATTTTGAGAAAATAGGCTGATATATAAGTCTGCATTTCACGAAGAGATAGTATAATTGTAGCATCACTTTTTTGTGGTCACCAAGAGCCGGTAACAAAGTGCCTCTCAACTGGGAAATAGTAGAACAAATTGTGGTAATGAAATACTGCTGAGGTGTAGGAAATAATGAATATGACAGCTTTGAAAGACTTGTACGTATCAATGCATAGTAAAATGAGAACACTTAAATCAAAACCTACAATAATGTAAAGGAAACTGAAATATGGATAGACTTGTATGAACTGATGCAGAGTGAAATAATCAATCTTGGGAGGATAACTTATCCAGTAACTATAATGACGAGGGGAAGAAATTCTGAAAGATCTTAGAACTTCGACTAAAACAAGGATCAATAAAGACATCAAAAGACTAATGATGAAGCAGGTAACGGTAGCAGGATGATGGACTAGAAGGTACAGAACCTCAAATGTGGCCAACATCTTGTTGTTCTGTTTGATGATGCATAATGCTTTTTAGAGGGAAGGCTTCTATTTAAGGGTATACGGAGAGATGGGTTTGTGGGCAATGACAGATATATAAAAAGAATATGAACAGAGTATTATAAAAAGGTAAATTATAAAATACAATTTTACAAAATTTGGAAATGCATAGAAGAAAAAAGTTCTGAAGAGGTCATGGAAACAAACAGTATGATTTTTTTTTTAAAATGAACTGCAAATAAATGTTTATGGTTCATCTGAAATAATTATTCATTTTTATGTAGCTGAATGTTTTATGATGGATACATTGAGAAGAAAGAAGGAAAGAAAATGAAGGAAGGAAGGAAGGAAGGGATAGAGGGAGAGAGAGAGGAAAGGAAGAAAGAAAGGGAAGAAGGGAGAAGGGGGTGACTAGACAGCTTCTTTGAGATTTTGAGGCCCCAGAGATATTCCTCTTGCTTCCCTTTGTGCAACCCAACGATTCTCTCCTACTACCCTAGGAATAGCAGTGAGGAGAGTTGTGGTGTAGGTATCCTACTGTAACTGAACTTGCTGACCTGGAAGGTTTTCCCTAAGGGGCTTGGCTACAATGAAAGACATATCCAGGATTCTCAGAAACTCCATCTCTGGAAAAACCCTCTGCACCATTCCCCCTCTCTCAGAGTGTGTCTGGCCAGGATCCCAAAACCCTGATAGTGATATATGCTTACCCTCAAATATGAGTCTCTATTTAAAAAAATCAAACAAAATAACTTAGTTTATATTTTACTTATGAATTAAAATTACTTTATAATGAAGTGTTAGGACAAAGAAAACTGGACATTATGCTTGAAATGTCTTAAAACATGCAAAAGTTTTTTTAAAAGCACAAAAAAATTTAATTTTCCAACCACTGAAAGAAACACTTACCATTTTAACAAGTGGATTCTTTTATTTCCCTGGAATACAACAAACCCTGTAGCAGTGAATCCTAAAAATGTCGTCGTCCCTGTTGAATCCTTAAAAAAACAATTTGAATTTTTAAAAAATTAAAATAAATAGTATGGTATGGCTACATTGCCCATAGGCCAGGTTAATTCGTAATGGGATAAGCCACTGAGCAAATACTTCCACGATGAGCTTTTTTGAACCATGAGATTTGTGAGAGCAGAGACTCAGAGGGAATGTTGGCAGGGGTGGCCAAAAATGGGGCACAGACAATAGCTACTCTTTCTCCCCACTGTTATCTCCCTAGAAAACAGGATATCCCATAGGAAAATTCACAAATGTGTTTTGATGTCTAATTGTGAGTCCTTGGACTAGAAGATAAAATTGCTTAAAAACAATCATTGGCTCATGCGTCCATGTAGGTTTAGCCATATTGCTCTATCTTGGAGGTAACAAGATACCCTGCTAATCTCTGAGATTAAAAATTTTAAGTGGATACCTAACCAATTAGAGTTTCCCCAGGATTTCTAGCACATATAGGATAAAAATCTAAAAGAAATAGTCTTCAGCTAATATAGATAATAGGCTCACAGAGCTAGAGCTGGAAGGGACCATTAGAAATCTTCTAGTCCAACCCATTTCACAAATGAAAAAACCAAGGCCCAAGGAAGTTAAGTAACTTGTCCAAGGTCATACAGGAAAGGCACAATTTGAACTAAGAACATCTGACTTCAAAGATAGTGTTCTTCCCACTGTACCACACTTTAATGCCTAGGAAGTTCTGGAAACCATGTCATATGCTAAGTAAAGACAAAGCACCTCAAAATTTCTGAGCTAATGGGAGTCAGAGTTCAAGCTAAAATTGAAATCTAAGTAGATACAAATCACCTCGTTGTCTGCCTTGGACTGACTTCTTCATCCAATTTGAAATTCTGTCTAATATGTCCATTACTACCTTCATAGTTAAGAAAACCTATCCGACAAGATTCTAAGTATTAAGCTAGGAAAAGCACAGAGGGTTAATTTTGTGGTGAAAAATAAATTCATTAAATAGATATTGGGCAGGGTAAGTTGGGTTAGAAGGAGGGGTAGAACAAGTCACTACATATGCCAAGGTGAACTATATTTCCAAAGCATTATTACAGAGCACTGGCTCCAGAATACAAGGACCTCAGTTCCTATTCCCCCTCTGAAACTTTACTGCCTGTGTGACCTTGAGCAATCTACTTGACTTCCCAAGAACTCAGTTTCCTCATCAATAAAATGGAGCAGTTAGACTGGATGCCCTCTGAGGTCCCACCCACCTTGCCACACAATGATGACTTACTAAGTATAATTCAAAGCCTTATTTTGAGACATCTGTCTGATCCCCTATGGTTGGCTTGGAATGCTGAATAATGAGGGTACTTTGTTGTCATAAAACATTCCTTTAAAATGTAAAAAGGCTTTTAAAGTGCTCAAAAGATGAAACTTTTTCAACTGGCTAAATAATTTACATGAGAAAACACAAAAATAAAAAATACCTTGCATTTCCATATAACTTCTAATTTTTCCTTCGCCCACCCCTCAACCTATTCTTTGGAAGCTCATTAATATCTATACTAGCCTTAGGATCACAAACTTACAAGTGGAAGGGAACTCAGGTCACCTAAATCCAATCCCCTTTATTTTATAGTTGAGAAAACAGAATTCCAACAAAGTAAAATGTCTTGCCCAATATCACATGGGTAAGAAGTGACAAAACCAGAATTTGAACCCAGGTATTTTGACTCCAAATTGTCATCTTTCCACTGCACAAATCATTAAGATTCCTTTCACCTTTGGGAACAAATTATTTGATAAGCAAGCAATTTCTAAATGATAAAAAAAAAATACAGACAAGTGGATCCCATTATCACAATTAAACAGGAAAGACACTAACTCACACTCCTGGTCTCCTTGGTAGCAACTCTGAAGTATAACAACCTACTACTGGGGAAGGGAGACAAGGCCTCATCCAGAGTTTTCACAGAGTAGAGGCTATGGGTTGGAGATGGCCAAGCTTACAGATCTGTGTTCTTTCCAGATATAGAGGACTGCTTTCACTGGTTATTCCTTAGGGAAGGACCAGAGAAGCTGTGCCTGTGTACTACATGTCTGGCTAGCAGATCACTTGCTATCCAGAAACCACTCTGCTAGACATTATGCTGTCTATATTTTACTATGTGTTTGTTGCTCTCCGATTAGAATGTAAACTCCTTGAAAGAGAGCATTGGTGTCTACCACAATGCCTGGTCCATAGAAGGTGCTTCATAAATATTTGTTGATTGCGAAATTACCTTGCAGGGATGGGGATCCACCCCATAGGTTTCCAGAGTATGTGCTTTCAGTAGTAAGTTAAATTCAGCAACTGGTGGACTCTGGCCCCTGAAATGACACAAGGAAAAGGTGGGTTAATCACAAAAAAGAATAGAAAACATACCTCATTCCATTCAATAGACTGTAGTTCCCAGAAGCAGATAGCAAGAAAAAAACCCATCTTCAAAGGCAATCACTTGGACTAAATCCTATTTATCATCAAGAGTTGACCTTCCAAAAAGTGTCTGATCCTATGCTGTTCTCCGGCTAATCTCTCCACATTTAGCCTAGTGGTATTTGATGTATGCTTTATGAGCACTCTTGTGACCCATACAGTTAATCAAGATTATCAAGTAACTAACAAATACAGCCAGGCAAAGTCAATCTTGATATGAAATGAGCCTCAGCAACTGTCCTTCCCAACTCATTTCAGATTATCCAGAGTAAATGGCATTCCTTTCAGCTTAGACGTATAAACACAGCAATCACGCTATGAGACCAACTAAGACACAAAGTTAAATATAGCACCCCAGTGGGAGAAATCATCCTTTCCATCAGAGACCCCTATATTTTTAAGGGACGTTTTATTCTTCTAAGGCCTGTACTAACCTTCAAGAATAGATTCAGGAAAAATGCTGTAGTTTTGTTTTCTTTGTTTTTTGGGGTTTTTTTGCTTTAAAACCATTTGAAACCATGATCAGTACCAAGGTCACGTCCTCCAATTCCTAACAACATTCCAATAAGAGCAGTATTTTCAGCACATCATACTGGATTCATGAGGAGGCACCAGCTGACTGGGTATTGTGCCCAGTGGGACTGGGCTCTTAATCCTGGCTCTGCCATTTAAAAATAATAATGGCTAACATTTACATAGCTTCAAGATTTGGAAAGAACTTTACATACATTATCTCATTTGATTCTCACAACAAGCCTAAGAGGTAGGTGCTATTATTATCCCCATTTAACAGGGTGAAGAAACTGAGGTGAGAGAAGTTAACTGATTTGCCCAGAGTCACTCAGCTAGTAAATGACTGAGGCAGTATTTGAACTCAGGTCTTCCTGACTCCAAGTGCAGCATTCTCTCCAATGGGCCATTTATTTGATCTGTGACCCTGGACATGTCATTTAACCTCTATGGGGCTCAGTTTCATTGCCTTTAAAATAAGGGGTTTGGGCTAAATGAGCTCTTACATCCCTTTACAATCTAAAATTCTATAAATTTAAAATTCTTTCTAAAACTATGAAGTCCCAGAGAAAGAAAACAAAACAAAAACAGAATGATTTAGAAAATACCATTTCCCCAAAGGAGTTTTTCATTCTTATTTTAAAAGAAAACATCAATGCATTTGTGATCTCATCCACATGAATATTTTCCTTCCACTGGTACAGATCACAGTCCATCCATACTCATCTCATCCTGGGCCATTCTTGTCCTTGTTCTTTCACAGATACTCCAGAGATCAAGAGGTCCTCATTTTACAGATGAGGAAACTAAGGACTAGGAAGGTCATGACATACCAAAGTCATAGGATATAATCACACGGCAAGAACTAAAAGGGACCTCAGAGGACACCTAATCCAAACCCCTCACTTTACCGATGAGGCAACCAATGACCAGAGAGGCTGTTACTTGCCCAAGGTCAAAGAGGCAGCAAGCATCAGAGGCGAGATTTGAACAAGGTCCCATACTGCACAGCCAAATGATCTTAACACTACATTATGCTGGGGGTACATATAAATATTTAGCTAACTAGTAAACTTCTAGTTAATTAGAAAATTAACAACACCTTCCTATGTCTCTGTTTAAAGCTTGAGCCTGTGATTTCATCATCCTAAGGAACTCTCATGATGGAAGTTCTCTCCAATCATGTAGACTGGCAACTCACCTAGAATTTATACCCTTAAAAAAGCAGTTCAGCTATGCCCAAAGAGCTGTAAAAATGTGCATACTCTTTGACCCAGCAATAGCACTTCTAGGGCTGTAACCCAAAGAGATCATACAAATGAGAAAAGGACCCACATGTACAAAAATATTCATAGCAGCTCTTTTTGTGGTGGCAAAGAACTGGAAATTGAGAGGATGCCCATCAGTTGCGGAATGGTATATGAATGTAATGGAATACTATTGGGCTATAAGAAATGATGAGCAGGCAGACTTCAGAAAAACCTGGAAAGACTTGTATGGTCTGATGCTGAGTGAGCAGAAGAGAACATTGTACACAATACCAGCCACGATGTGTGATGACTAATGTTGATAACCTTAACCCTTCCCAGAAATACAAGGATCTAAGACATCTCCAAAGGCCTCGTGATGGAAAATGCTATCCACATTCAAAGAAAGAACTATAGAGTTTGAATGCAGATTGAAGCATACTATTTGCTTTTTTTTTCTGTTGAGTTTTGTTTCCTCTTTCTGGTGGTTCTTCCTTTTGGTTCTAATTCTTACCTACAACATCACTAATGTGAAAATATGTTTAATAGGAATGGATATGTATAGGCTATATTAGATTGGGCGCCGTCTTAGGGAGGATGGTGAAGAGGAAGGGGGAGAAAAATTTTAAACTCAAAAGCATATGGAAGTGATCGTTGATAAATCAAAATAAATTAATAAAAAAATGAAAAAATGAAAAATAAAAAAGCAGTTCAGTTTCCTCTTGATCTGACAGCCAGTATATGTCAGAGGCAGACCTAAACCTAGGTCTCCCTAACTCTAAAGCTAGCTCTCCACCCACTATATCAGGTACTTTTTACAAACTGTTATAATAAAAGAGCTATTCTGATAGTGTGTGTGTGTGTGTGTGTGTGTGTGTGACAAAGAGAGAAAGACAGAGAGAGAAGGCTTTTATTTTTTTCCTTTCTTTCCATCAAAGTTTTCTTCATATTGTTTTCCTTACTTACAGTAGACCATCTTAAATAAGATTTCTGAAACTAGATGTAAATTACTTTCATGCCACCAGCACACAAACACTATGCTAACTTTTCCCTGAGAGAAGTGAACGACATTCACTGTTAAGGCAGTCACCAGTACTAATGTAGTTCTGATGATGGAGGTTTTGGAAAGTTTTTCCAAGTATGTAGACCCAAAGATAGATGATTTTCTCTAACCAGGTCTCTCTTCTTTCTTTCCCAAATACCCCTGAAATAATTTGTGCCCTTGGTAAATGTCCTTTCCCAGAAAAATGGAAATCACCCCTTGAATCCAACCATTGGTTTTTATTCCTTGAATCAGGCTCTGCATATATTCTGGTAGTGTCTTCCAACATATGGGAGGAGTTGTTTTATCTGACACCAGACCAAGAACAGCTCTGAAATCTGGTGTTTCTGATGTGCCCCCAAACCAGCCTTCAGTCTAGTTGCCAGGGCTGATGCTGAAACTAAGTGGAATCTGTACTGAAGCATCTCAGGATCTGACACAACCAGGAGACTCTCTTTGCTGTCAAACCAAAGTCCCTCTTTTTACAGGCACAATCACTGCCCTGTTACATTCTGATAAGGACTCCTATGGTCTGGAAAGGAGCTCATTTTCTTTATCTATTAAAACTTCAGCCCCTTGGCAACATGTCATAAATTGTTTATTTTCAAAATTCAGTCTATTATAGAAGTTTTTTTTTTTTGGTGAGGCAATTGGGGTTAAGTGACTTGCCCAAGGTCACACAGCTAGTATGTGTCAAGTGTTTGGTCTGAGGCCGGATTTGAACTCAGGTCCTCCTGACTTCAGGTCCGGTGCTCTATCCACTGCGCCACCTCGCTGCCCCAGAAGTATTTTTTTAAAGGTCTGTGCCAGGTATGGGGAACCTGGGGCCTCAAGTCCATAAGTGGCCCTCTAGGTCCTTAAGTGCAGCCCTTTGACTGAATCCAAACTTCATAGAACAAATCCCTCTCTGTGTAGGCTCCTTTTATATGTTGCTATGAGTTTTAGGTTTAGAAATTTACATTTGAATTTTTGAAGGTTTTTTTTAAATCGGACATATGATATTTTTAGTATAGGGGACTCCCAGGGAGCGTGCTCCCTCTGACAAAGAATATAAGCATATGTTCAGTAACAACTAGTCTCAGAGAACTGCCTGGGGTAATTGAGAGATTAAGTGACTTGCCCACGGTCCTACAGCCAGTATGTGTCAAAGGTCAGACTTGAACCTTCAACTTCCTCACTCTGAAGGCAGCTCTCCATCCACTATACTGCAAATGTCTTTCATCAAAATACAAAATGGCTTTTTTTTTAAACCCCATGGGCCTCCTCTCATTATTTTCCTTACCTTTCTTCCCAAATGGTTAGTGCATTCTTAGGCTACATTAATAGAAGTCTAGTGTCTAAAATAAGAGAGATAGAAGTCCACTCCTCCTCTCGGTAATTCATGCCACACCAAGAAGGTGTGGGTCCAACATTTTAGGAGGGACAATAACAAAATGGATTTGTCCAGGGAAGGGTGACTAGGATGGTGGAGAGACTTGAAACTATGGTTTAAGAAACTGAGAATGTTTTAAAGCTAGAGAAAGGAAAACTTCAGGGAACATGATAGCTTTCTGGTATTTTGAAGAGCTGATCCAGAAGAATGATTAGATTAATTCTTTCTGCCACTAAAGGACAGAACCAGGACCAATGGGTAGAAGTTCATAGGAATAAGATTTCATTTTGATACAAAAAATTAGCAACTATGAGAGTTCTGCAAAAAAAAAAAAAAAAGTAATCATATGTCTTAGGAGTAAGTTCTCCATTGTTGAGGGTATTCAAGGAGAGGCTAAATGAATATTGGGAAAGGGGGGGCCAGTTGAAAAGATTCATTGAGCTCTTGACTGAAACTTCCCTCATTCTATACCCTCCAGTTAGAAGTAATTGCATTCTCCCCTGAACTAAAATAGCATTTCATAACTCCATCATTATACTTTCATATTCTACTTTATATTAGACCATACCCAATTATAGGGATTTTTTCCTCCTCTGAAATCCTATAGCACTTACAGTTAAACTCCTAATCATGTGGCCCCGTGATGTATAACAAGGAGCAAGGCTCTGCTTTCTGTTTTTTACCCTAATCAGTCTTTGGTTTGCTTCATATTCTAACCTTAAA